ATTATAAAAATGAAAAAATCTATATTTAGTGAAATACAGTATAATCGTCTGTTCTTTTTGTCGTGTTTTCATATATTATCTTCGTCTACCATGTCTTGTTTGCTGCCACGCTATTTGCTTGACTAAGGCCATTGGCGCTTTGTCTGCTGGAACCGTGTCCACTGGAACCTGTTCCGACTAAGGCAACGAGTTCTTTGAGATCACCACCATAGTTACGGTTACGATTTACACTTATAATTTCTCCAGCATTATTTGGATTAGAACCACATCCTACACGCACTTTTCTTTCTTGAACATTTGATGTTACTTTTTCCATGAGAACGAAGAAGACGGTTGTCAGCTGCGAGGAGAGAATAAAATCAAATGCTTTCTGCTCGTCAAAACAACATGTTGTTGTCAGTGTTGTTATGCGATGCCGCTCGATGGCAATTGAGTGCCTTCTCTCTCTAAAATTCCATTTCTACATTACATTCTCAAGACCAATTTACGTTTTTTACTTTTCTTCAAAATAACACCTTCAAAGACATCTTTTATTCCTTCATTTTTTCGTTTCTGTATCAACATGAAGCTAAAATAAAATTATGATTTTTCTAGGTTAAATTCGTTCGAACTGCACTTTTAACACTATGGATCTTGTACTAAACAGAAAAATGTAATAGTTCACATTAATGTTTTACTTTAACTTTTTGAAGCTAGAAATGTGACTCGGATTGGAAAATTTTCTTTTAATCATTTCTCATCGCTTTTTCCAATTATTCATGAAATGAGATACCATGACATGTCGTCCTACTACGGTGAGATGCTTTGTTAAAAGAATAAAACAACAATTTTCGATGCAGACCTTCCTTTTTATAGAAAAAAAAAGAGGCAGTAATGATTAGGGTGTGGGTGTGTTTGAAGATAAGAGTCTGAGCCATACCCACACCCACGCCCTCAAGATCATCATCAGGTAACTTGAGGTCTGTACAGTTTTTTGTTGTTCGGAATTGTGTTGATAATAGTAGCGACACGTCTCTTTGTGCACCATCGTCAACTCACGTTGCCATTGATATACGCTAAAAATCAAGCTAATAGATTTATTCTAGCATCGACAATACAATACATTCACAATGGAATTCATTCTGTGCGAACATTGTTTCTGTAATCATCGAGACTGTCTCTGGCTCTCAAATTAATGACAATATTCTATAGAAGAATATAGGCAATAGGACAAATTACGTCATAGTGTTAAATCTTGTTTAGTTCATCTGATGTTGACTGATTCAATTTGAAGTATGTGAGATTGCAAAAATGTCTTTTTTTCCATGCTCTTAGAGCCAGAATTGTTCTATTGGAAGGATGTTCTGTTAATACTTTTTCAGTAAAGAATGTTTCGATTGATAAAAAGAAAAGTGAACCGCGAACAAGAATTTGAAACTTGGATGCGTTAAGTCAGAAACAAGCGCTCTAACTATTGTACGATTCAGTACTGTTGACTAGTATTAAGAATTCCAGAATATGAAATTTTAACATAGATTGATCACGGTACTATTCGAATAAATCCAATGGAGAAGAATCGATCCGTTGAGGAATTATTTCAGGATAAGTATATTGGTTAATACAAGTGCTATAATAAAACAACATTCTTGACATATAGGGCTGCTAGAAAAAAAAACTGATACATGCATAAATTAACTTAGAGTAAGATATAATCCAATGACAGTTATAAATCTTTTAGAAAATATGCTATACAAAATATCCGGAATTTTGAAATAAATCCAATAGATCCTGGTAGCTCCTGAATATTTTGGAAACCTTATTGGTTTTTTGTGGTATCATTATATTCAAATGGCATCTCTCATCTTGCTACATCACAAATACTAGATTGAGCAAAACGTTCGCGATCACTTACAAAAATGTTAACTTTTTAAGTTTACTTTTAAAGTTTTTTGTGTTTCATTTTTAAAACTTGTATATCTCGCGTGTGCTAGCTATTCTTGTGTAAATTTTGTAATTTCATTTTCATCATTTGAATTTAGATAAATAATTTTGAAATTCGTGTTTTGCTCCGCCACTATTGGAAGAAAGGCCTGTCTGCAAGAGCTGCTGCTACCGAAATCTGCAAAGTGGAAGGCGAAGGAACGATCGGGAAAACTGTCGCGATAAAATGGTTCAAGCGATTCGAGGATGGTGATTTCGACTTCGAAGACAAGCCTCGTTCTGGCCGATCATCTGTTCTGGACGAAGAGGACTTGCGTGCCGTTTTGGAAGACGAGCCGTCATCAAGTACTCGCGACTTGGCCGATGAACTTAGAGTCGCGCAGCGGACCGTTGTCAATTACCTGCACAAGTTTGATTTTGTCCACAAAAAGCCATGACAAGATCCTCACGAACTCACTGAAGCACAAGCTATACGACGTGTTGAAGTCTGGCGTCACCTGCTCGACAATCCGTTAGACGATCGGTTCTGGAAGCGCATTATGACATGCAACGAAAAGCGGGTTTTCTTGATCAATCGTGATCATTCTAGACGTTGGCTTCCACGAGATCAAAATCCGCCACCGGTTGCTCGTCAAAAGAAAGTCATGTTGTGCGTCTGATGGAATGTCGATTGCGTTGTGCACTTTGAATTGGTCCCTGATGGTCGAGCCGTGAATACCGAGCTGTACAACGAGCAATTGGAGCACATCTACGACGTCTTGAAGCAGCGCTACCCGACGTTGATGCGACGAAAACGTGCCCTTCTCCAACACGACAATGCTCCAACTCATCGTGCCAATTTAACCAATGAGAAGCTTGATGAACTCGATGGTGTAGAGGTTCTACCACATCTGGCTTACAGTCCCGACCTTGCTCCTTCTGATTATGGCTTGTTTCGTTCAATGGAGCACTTTTTGCGAGGACGACGATTTGAAACTTTTGATCAAGTCGAAGCAGCGTGCCGTAAATTCTTTGAGTATAAGGAGCCGCACTGGCGGTATCAAGATCAGATTCGACAACTTTCAGAACGCTGGCGTAAGGTCATTGAGGATGATAGGTTGTACTTTGAAGAATAATTGTTATTGATTTTGAATAAATTTATGCATAAAAAAGAATTTTTTTGCAAATGATCGCGAACTTTTTGCTCAACCTAGTAGAACAAATATTTTCATCGAAACGATGGTGATCAACAAGGTAAAGAATATTTTCAACAATTGTTGATCCACCTTGAACGTCACGTTCAATGTGATTTGCATAATCATTGGAATCATTAAAGATTGTTTTAAGATCAATAACAGGAATGACACGCTGAAAAAGAAAAGAAATCAAAAGTTGTATTATACCGGTTTATCTATACTTTAATTGGTTCGGTAATGAAAACATTATTCAGTACTGATAGGCCGGTTTCACACATACGGTGCTGTTCGGGATTATAAAACTTCGGATTGTAGATGATACATATTGTCGTAGGAATTTTAATTCGCAGTGCTGTTTTTTGTTGTTCATTATTTGTAACATCAAAATCTGATTCTCCACGATTTTGAATTAATTTTATTATTGTTGAATTATTTAGATTTTGATTATTTGAAGAATATTGTAAACGATATTCAACATTTGTTGTTGTTAAACTTTGAAATGAAGATTGATGAAGATCATCAACTGTTATACGATGTGATGGACTTTTTACATTTGATAATGATGATAATAGAGATGAAGGTGGAAGTGGTGGTAGAGAAGGACCTACTGGAAGAAGACTATTAACTGTTCGCATTTCACTAGTTACACTATTTGTTAAATCATTTTTTGTTCCTATTGATGATGTTGAACGAAGATAAGGATCGACATGACGCTAAATTAAACAAATTATTTTTTTGTTTATTTAAAGAAAAAAACTAAAAATACCTTTGATCTCTATTGAATATACTTTTTCTAAAGCTTGTTCAAGTAAAATAGAATCAGAAATTAGATTTTTTTTTAATGTCCACCGATATACATTTTCTCAGTTTTATTTTATTTCTAAATAAAAAAAAAGGGGTAAAGATTTGATCTCCAATTGAATAAGAACAAAGAACGGACTTAAGTTTTTTTTTTTAATCTTTTCATCATATATTTTAATCTTATCTATTTGATGTTGTTATTCAAAGAACGTTTAATAAATGACGTGATTAAAAATTTTATCTCTTTAAAAGAAAAACTACAAAACTCTTTTAGAATTTATTAATTTAATTTGTAGATAAAGTTAAGAATAAAAGTTAGATCTATGTGAATAATCATCATTTACTATTCAAGGTGAACCATTTATCAATATAAAACTAGTCAAGAATATAATCATTTCTTCCCTCTAAAAATTTATATTGATCGATTCAGTCCACAGATAAATCAACAACTGTTATATCAATCAATCAATCAATCAAAAATCGAACAATTATCAAAAAAAAGTGTTGTTTTAGACCTATTGAATATTTTAAAGACTTTTATTTTTCAAGATTCGACGAATAAATTTAAAAAATGAAGTTTAATTTGAAATAGTTTAAAAGATGATCTTAGAAAAGATGAAAAGACCTAATCATTAATAGAAGAAAAAGATTAAACAATCTTCTACATCTATAACAAACTCGTAGATGATTAACTATTTCTTCTAATTGATTATTTTCAATGAATAAATCTTAATCGTTGAATAAGAAAAAAAAAATATTTTAACTTAATGATAAATATGAATTTGATAATTTTTGATTAAAAAAAGGCTGAAAAGAATGAAATTTGTTATTTCAATAAAAAGAAGAGTTAATAAAAATTTATCGATAAAAATAAAAATATTGATCTCGTCAATAGAGGATTATTGTGCGATTAGATTTTTATTTTTTTTGTAAAAATTCTTAAAACAAAATAAACATTACTTGAATATTTGTCTCAAATTGATTAAGATGAATCGATTTTCAAAAATGATTTAAATTTAAAATAAATAAATAACAAGAACAATTTATAGTTGTGAATTGAATAGAAAGAAAATAAAAAGGAAAATGTTACTCAAGACATGATAAAAATTCTTTTTGACAAATTTCAAGAGTATATTCTATTGATTCTCCTTCCTTTCTATTTTGATCTACAATTTTCAATATGAAAGATTTCATATTGAATGATTCTTGATATTAATTGAATGAAAAAAGAATGTAAACAAACAAAAGAAGAAATATTTATTTAAATATCTATTGATGTATAGTAGTGATTCTTGTTTGTAGTATACGTAACATCATCAATTGATGTTCAATACGAAATGTCTCTCATATAAAGAAATGTCACAAGAAAAATAAATACACTTTCTTTTTCTTTTTACATTTTTTTTATAAAATAGAAACGATAGTCCGTGATGTAATTCTATGTGGAAAGATTGTTATAATCGTCAAAAGAAAAAAAGAAAAACCAATTTTTTATACACTTTACAAATCAATCTTGAGAAAGAAGGTTACAAAAAAAACAAACGAATCTATTTCGATTTACTAATCAACTAAAAAAAATTCATCTCTCACCTGTTTTTTTTATTGATTTATATCAATAAAATTACTCATTTTTCTTTTCTTTTCTCATTTCGAATTAACTTCCAACACACTTATCAAACTAAATGTCATCACGGTTCAATAAAAAAAAACAAAATACAAAAATCTCTATCAATACTTTATATTAACATATTTGACACTCAAAAAAAACAAAACTCGATTATGTCTTTGATCTTCAATATTTAAATAAGATCTTTTCATTCATTCTTAACAAACTATTAATAATTAGAAATTCTTCTCACATATCTACTTAAGAAATACATTCTTTTCCTATTTTACTTTACATTTACAAAATCTTCTATTCATTAAAGATTATCTTTGTTTCCAATCAAATATATACGTATATTTATTTATGAATTTTTTTCAAAAAAAATATCTAAACATATTTTATTTTCTCTAACTTGATCATTTTCTTCTATTAAAGATTTCATCTTTAACTTCTTCGTCTATCAGTAAATTCTACCTTAACCATATTCAATTTGTTCAATCACATTATTGATAAACTTTCTTTTTCTTTATGAAACATTCTTCACAGTATTTCTTACTGATATCATTTATTGTAAATTAATTATTATTTTGTTTATTATCAAAGAATAATTTTCATTTACAAAAAAAAATCTTTTCAATTTATAAGAAATCTTTCAGCTAAAACATTATTCATATTCATAAATAGGAAACATCAAGATTAGAGAAAAACTCTCAGAGAATATCGATAGAAGTTATGAGTCAGTTAAGATATGAACATTTCATTCCAATACTCGATCTTTTCAATAAATTAAACTTTGAACTTTGACGTTGAAAGTATATTTATACTAATAGCCAGGGGTGGCGCGACCGGGGGGGTGTCGGGGGTGTGACACCCTCCCAATAGTTGAAAATTTTTCGTTTTTTGACCAGTTAACAGGTTCATAGATAAAAAATACAGGGATGTAGAAAGAGGAAGGACACCCCTACCTGCAGAAGCAATGATAGGAGGTGACCCATCAACGGTTAGATAAAGACTGTTCAAAGTGATTTCTCAAAAAATCGTTTTCATAGATACAATTTTCTTGGAATTTTGGAAAATTTTCGCTTCGCGAATCAAGTTTTTCCAATATTTTTTCAATTAGATTACTATTTTTGGCTTCCAAAATGATGTGTATTTTCGTTTAAGACGTGACATCGAACAATAGAAAGGCTTGTTTTTCGTTCAAATCAATCATCTTTTAAAGGAAAAGGGTGGACTATTGCTGCCTTTGGTGGCTCAACATAAAAAAGAAGACATTTTTGTTGTGTTCACTCTAAAAAACGAGTTTTCATCTGATTGATTTCTAAATTTTTCCGATCAAACTTTGAAATACTGTTCCGCAAAGCTGCCGCCTTTGGCGGTATGTTCTGCAGCTACCGATCCTGAATTGATAGGTCTAATATGTCCATCGTGTCGTCACAAAAGCGAAGGTTTCAATCGAGTAAAAAACTTTTCCGCTGCGCGATATTTTGCGAAAAAGTTGGCTGTAGTAAGAGTGACGGAAGACTCATTTTTATATCTGTGGGAAACAAATTGCCTTTTCCCACATGTTTTGACGGCAGATACCCAACTACTTGTGACCCTATGTCCAACAGAAGAAAGTCTTGGCGATGTTGAGTCTAGCATGAAGTTTGCTCTACTAACCGAAATCTATCTGCTCTGAGAATTTTTAAAGTTTTCTGACGAAACGTTCTTCAGAAACCCCTGAAAGAAGCGGAGTGCCCTTAGTCGAACTGTATTTGAATATGAAGAGAAATATATAGAGGGAGGGGGGGGGGCGGATTAGAAATCTGTTTTATTTTAAACATACTACCTAAAGTGAAAACTTTTTGTACACCCCCCCCCCTCCCCCAAAGTTTGAAGGGTCGCGCCACCCCTGCATTTATACCAGAGTTGTAACCGGACCGGCAGACCGGCCGGTCCGTTCCGTTTCGATAGAAGATTTCTTACCGGCCGGTAGAACCAACTTTTTCTTTACCGGCCCGGTCTGAATTTTTTTTGAATTTTTCCCTATTTTTTTCCCAAAAAATGATCAAAAAGGTGGTTTTTTTCGAAAATCAAAAACTTTTTACTAATGTCGAAGACTATTTTGGTAAAAAAAATTGTATCAAACTATCCAATTGAGTCAAAATTTGTCATGGATGTTTTTATATTTATCCAATCCATGTGGGTACGACGTTCTGCCCGTATAGTTCAAGGAACGACATTTTATCATTTAAAACAGTTTTTATTGGCCAAAACTATCGTTTATCATACCTAAACGGTGTTTCAGAAAATAAAATAGCTGGATATTGACCTTCGTAAACAGTACAGAAATGTTATTATGTGTATATAAGCTCAAATGCATACAGAAACGTTTCCGTAGCGTTTACGAAGGTCAGTTTCCAGCTATTTTCTGTTTTGAAACGACGTTTAGGTGTGATAAACGATAGTTTTGGTCAATAAAAACTATTTTAACCGACAAAGTGTCGTTTCCTGAACCACATCGGTGTTGTTCAAATAAAATCAAATGATTAATTGTTTAGCATCGTAGTTTATCATGGATTTATTTGTATTTCCCATTATTTATTGCATATAGTCCTGACAGACACGAAATATGACAAAGCGAGTATAGCATACGAGCAATAAATAGAGCCCATATTTGATGAATAGTTAATCAAAGTGCAAAATTAACATAGAATTTATGGTCGTATGAACTTTTGTGCTCACCAACAGATATCGAGAAACAGGACACATATGAAAGCAAATAGTAAAAAGCACTGCAGTGGCGAAATAGGACTTTTATATCATAGCTGTAGTGATTAGAAGGAATATATGACTCATCTAGGTATTGATTTGAGCGTTATAGGGTCAGAAAACAGAAGAATAATTTATACCGGTATACCGGCCGGTCCGGTCCGGTAGGGTCTGACCAGTTAGACCGGTACCGGTACCGGTAAGGAAAAAACCCTACCGGTTACAACTCTGGTATACACGCCAATGTTTTACATTCAAAATGCTCAATCGAGCATTACGGATTCTTGATGGTGACATTATCATCCGAATGGGATTTTTCCTGTGTGATGTTCATCGACAAATTGAAGAATTGCACAGTCAACAGGTCAGTCAATATCATGGTAAGACATTTCTTGTTTATCGCGGGCAGGGATTATCAAAAGTAGATCACGAAAAACTCGTCAAAAGCAAAGATGGACTCATTTCATTCAATAATTTTTTATCCACCAGTGTAGATCGTGATATTTCCCTCGGCTTCGCCAGAGATACCTTAGAAACAGAAGAAATGGTTGGCGTTCTCTTTCAAATGACCATCGATCCCACAGTCTCATCGACTCCTTTTGCCTCCATCCAGGAGGTGAGTTATTACAAGGACGAAGAGGAAATTCTCTTCTCCATGCATACAGTTTTTCGAATTCGTGAAATTCGAAAAATTGACAGGATAAATCCACTTTACGAAGCGGACCTCAAGCTTACGTCTGATGATGACCAGCAACTCCGTAAATTAACCGACCGGATACGAGAAGAGGTCAGCGGTACTGGATGGCATCGACTGGGTAAATTGCTGCTCCAAATAGATCAATTCGACAAGGCCGAAGAATTGTACATCGCACTACTAGAACAGGCATCTAGCGACAGTGATAGAGCATATATCTACCACCAGCTTGCATATGTGAAAAAAGACAGAGGAGAATACACAGAAGCAGCTTCATTTCTCGAAAAATACCTAGACATCAAGCGTAAAACTCTTTCAGATGATCATCCTTCATTGGCTTCTCACTACAACAACATCGGTCAAGTGTATAACAACATGGGTGACTACTCGAAAGCACTTGAATTTTAGGGTGTGGGTGTAACTATGAATGTGAGGGTGTGGACATGTATGTGATTGAACTGAACACCCACACCCTCACTCACATCCACACCCACACCCTAGTAACAGAAATGGATGTTGCGTTCCCGTTCCTAGAAACAGAACGCAAAAGTGACACCTCTAGTGTTAGATATGTGATAGAGGCAAGTGTGTTATGAAGTTTGACGGCAGCCGTTTTAAAAAATATGGCCCTACTGATTTTTATTAATTTTTTCCCAAGTCCAAAAAGTGTAAGACCCGAAAGTAGAGCACATTGTGGACTGAATATTTCACGAGTAAATTCATTGATCGAGCTGAAACTTTTTTGTCGATGGCTACAATTGTCATTTATACGCACAACAAAATTTTCATCATCATTATTAGGCATATTAATTCTAGTTTTCCCATTGCATGATTTATGAGTTGAAAAATGTCGAAATGAACACACAGTACGTTTATCATATCACATGCATGACTCAAAATCTGGAGTTTTGAAGTCTGCAAGGGACTCTTTTCGTATATGTTTAATTATGAAGATTTTGAGATTTTCTTTTTATATTCTACCTTAGTTTTGCAACTTTTCATATAGTTAATCATACTGGCTTGAGGCAGTCTTTTCTTCTTTCTTTGAACTGTGAAATAGTTTGTTAAAAGAGTGCGAAGACATCAAGTTTTGAACTAGAAACAAAATTCTGTCGCATATTCAAAACTCATCGTTTGAATCTCAAAATATTTTCTGTTTCGGTGTTTTGAACAATTTCATATTGATTAACATAGTCCTTTATTTTGTGCACTTCTCGCTCATGATTTTTCGGATTGGGGGTGGGGTGTGGGTGTGTGTGAGTGTCGGTGTAGATGTTGGTGTTGGTCTTCCTATCACTCACATCCACACTCACGACTAGCTAGATACTTCTGTCATAAATTAATCAAGTACAGATCTTATCCTTAGTGTTTTTAAATAATTGAGTATCCAATCCGGAATCATTTAAATTAGATCAAATACATTACATTTTCTAACCTTTCATATAAAACTTTTGATAAATGGATATTAAACAGGAAAAACATATCTAAGGTGCTACGTTTCTTTTATCTTTGTCATCACACAGTTATCTACCATCTATGTTATATTCTTCCATCTAGTTTTATAATCTTTGGGATATGTTAAATTCCGAGTATTTCAGCTCTTATTTATCAATATTTACATTAGTAGATTAGATTCAATGTTTGTTAGTTTTGAATAGACAATGAATAGTAATTTCATAAAAGAAATGGAATATTTTTTTAATGTTGGTTGAATAGAGATATTATTTCATGTTTCAAATGTGATGATATGCTTGTAAAAATACATTATTTTATCAATTATGTTTGATTAACATTTGGAGAAAGATATTAAATTAGATTGAAATCTGATCCAACATTTTTTTTTGTATCTCTCATTCATTGCTGCTAATGCTTTTCAAATAAAATATACGGTTCTCTAATTAAGAAAACTTTTTTATTAGTAATATGACACTATGTAACAAGAAAGTTTTATACTTGAGATGAAATTACTATTCATTGATTTTTCAAATACATCAAGCTCTTTGACACCGAAAGCCGAATTTGAAAATTATTTCATGTAAAAGTCACTGTTTTACGTTGTATCCCTCATATTTATATTTATAAACAAAATTCTTAAATCTATCAAACAAATTAACAAT